CTTATCTGCTTTCACAAAATTTTTTATTGACTTATGTATTGGATGAGTGCATAAGTTCGTGCCCGATTTCAAGTGCAAACTAAAATTGAAAGTTTTTGAAGAAAGCGCTTTTATTAATTAATTATGTATTCACCAGCATGTTCGGCAATCCACTCCCAACGTTCAACCAATTTACGGATGCCTGATTCATAGAAGTCGNCAAACGATTCGAACGGCATCCAGCGGAATCGGGCACGAACTTATGCACTCATCCAATATATGTCACGCATTGATTCCATAGTTGGACTGCATAATGTACATGATATGGTACTCATCTCAGTTTGTTGCAGCGAGGATAGTTCACTCACTCAGCCACGTGTGATGCCCAGAATTGAATTGGTTATTTGGGAATGCTCAGTGAATCAGTCCCCAAAAATCTCCAAGCTGAAAGTTTATAAGTGGCAATATTCAACATTTCTGAGTAAACACGTTTAGTGTCAATAATTTCGAAGTGAAACTACCTTATAGAATTTTTGTATCGTGAACTTTGAATGATTCTTTAGAAAGGTTTGTCAAAAATAATTTGTCAAATTCTCTGTACATTTTTTGTATAAATTTGCCATAAATCTACACTTACTAAGTAAAAATGGAGATATTTTGAGTGTTTACATGGCTCAAAAGGTATTTGTGATTTTTCTTTTAGAACACAATGTATTTGCATTACGATAGCTGTAACGGTTTTAATTTGTTGATCACTCTCGACTATGGCGGATCATGATTATACATAAAGGGTGATTTTTTAAAAGCAACAGGAATGTTTTGCAAAAAAAAAAACAAATAAAATTCAGAAAAATGCATGAAATCTTTATTTGAATCGATAGTGCGGCTCATATAATTTAATGTTTAATGATTATTTCATGTAAATTTTGACCTTGATTCCGCCTCAAAAGGTCCATCCGCTTAGTCCAGTTTTGGCCTACTCTATCCAACATTTCGGCTGGTATCTCACGAATAAATGTTTCAATGTTATCCTCCAATGAATCAATTGAAGCTGGCTTATCTGTATAGACATTAGATTTAAAATAGCTACACAAAAAGAGGCGTTAAACCGCACGATATAGGGGCCAATTGGCCGGTCCCGATCGTGAAATAAAATGTTCACCGAACTCGTCTCTCAATAAATCCATTGTTAAGCGGGATGTGTGGCATATGACACAGTGTGTTGTTGGGACCACATGTCATGCAAGTCAAGCTCTTGAATTTTTGGCAATAAAAAGTTTGATATCATCCCACGGTAGTGCTCACCATTCACAGTTATGTTACGATTCGCATCATCTTTGGAGAATTACGGTCCAATGATGCCACCAGCCCATAAACCGCATCAAACTGTGAATTTTTCTGGATGCATTTATAGCTCTTGCAATGATTCTGGCTAATCTTCACTTCAAGATCATTAAGCCAAAAAAAAGCTACGTCGCTGAAAACAATTTTTCGATAAAAAAAATTGGATCTTCGGCCGACTTTCCAAGTGCCCATTGACCGAAAATTCTGTGCTGTGTTAGCTCATTCGGCTTCAATTCTTGCACCAGCTGTATTTTGAAAGGCTCGCAATTAAATCCTTCCGCGTTTTTGAGTAACAGAGGCCCAGTCGCTGCGATAATTGATGGTCATCATTAACTGTCCGATGCAGCTGCGATATTTTCTTCAGTTCGCACTCTATGTAAGCGTATTGCTGGTTTAATGTTTAACAAATTAAACTTGCTGCGAAATTTAGTCACAATATTCCGAATAGCCGCTTCAGTGAATCGATTAAACTGACCATAAAATGGTAGTGGCGCGCGATGAACTTTCTTTATCGAGCACGCATTTTGATAATAAAATTCAAGGCTGAGACTGTTTTTCTCGCAGCCCTCGGTTAAGTTTATCCAAGGCTCGGCGCGGCTTGCAGTCTGCTAAATCAGCGAGAATTTGTATTAATCTCTATGCATACAATTACAAAGAGTATACCTCGAATTTATCACCACTCACTCTGCAAGAGACCTTTGATTTGGTGGTTTTAACATTTTTTTTTTGAAACTACCATATTTGCAATCCAAATTAGTGGGTCAGCGTATACGCCTTATTTGTACTGTTTAAATTTTTTTTTAATTTTTCTTAGCAGCGAAATTTCATTTGTTTTTGTTTCGAAGCCATCAACCACATTTCCAAGTCAATTTTCAATTTTACCAACCGGAGTTGTAGAAAACGTGCTTCTCTCAAATACCAATGCCGCGTCTCAGATGCCAATGTACGGTCGGCTGCTTGTTGGCCCTGGAAAACCGGTTGACATACACAATTTATGAGGTGCATAGCCAAATGCTTTTTCGATTTTTTTTTTTCATTTTTTATTTTTTAATTAACTAAATACTGAGTATTGCGCACAAGTGTGCACTAATAAATTATTTATGCAGCTCAATTTTTTAATTTTTTTTTATTTTTATTATTACATCTGTGCACTTGTGCCGGTTTCTATGGGTATTTGTATGTTGCTGTGCATGTTTACATATTGTTGTAAATATGTAAATGCATAACAGCAAAAAGATTATATTCATAAAAAATACATAAAAAAATTTCAAACAAAAAATTTATCAGCATAAAATGTATTCTCAGTCAGCTGGTTTTGAATAACATTAAAAAGATGGTTAATACTCGAAATTAACAGTGTGCGACAGAAAAACGAATACAAAAACTGTTGTATTATATGTTACAGTGTTCTAAGAGGCAAAAAATGTTTACCTTATGTTAAGTCGAAGTGTTCTTTTCATTACTGCTTTTATTACTTCGTCCATCATCTTGGAGTCTTTGACTTCTTCTTCCGAACTCCTACGGCAGTGGAAATCCGAAAAATTCTCAAACCTTACCGCATGAATTTTTATCGATCGGAAATACCACTATTGGTTCTCACCCTTGGAAAACAGCTTTCCTAGCCTCGGGCCGGCCAAAGGTATTACGCAACTAAGCGATTTTTCTACGATCCGGTTCCTATGTGGTTTCAATACTGAGATATACCATGTTGTTGTTGTTGTTGTAACCACAAAAAATATTCCCCAAAGTACTTTTTGAGGAATGTTGCGGTAGTGACAGTCCTTGATCGGATAAAAATCCAAGTCGTTCCCGACTGATGCGGTAACTATTGGAATTCAGTGGCCTCTCACGTTAGGCATGCCTTGCCGCGTTTAAATTCTTGAATCCCTAACCCGCAGGGGTCTGAGCCATCGTGACATTCGTTTATGCTACAATTATGGCGGTTAACCTAAGCCGCGGATCCAAAATAAAGATTCTGAGCGTAGTTCTGCACAAGAAACTGTATTGAAAAGCTAACACAGAAAGCAGATATGACAAGGCCTTCATTGTTCTATATGCAAGCAAATGAGCCATTAAGAAATGGGGATTAAACCCTAAGATCTACCACTATATCTTTATAACAGTTGTGAGACCAATACCGTCTAGTGGCCTACATTAAGTAGGGCGACAAAGGTGAATGATAAGTATAAGTAGTGCGCTCAAAACCACGCCGAATGTGGCCTTAAATGTGATCCTCTGCATTTTACCATTAGACTTAATGAGTTTTCCCACTGCAGTGCACAACCACTCATCGACTCATCGATAATTCCAGAAAGATATAATTGCATGCCAATTAGCACAGAGCGCTGCAGCTCAACTTTTGCTAGCGAATAATTATATAATGCGTATCCCTAAAAGCGAGGAATGGAGAAATAACTTCGACTGAAATGGAGAAAGTGTCTTTCGAAGAGACCCACCTTTCGAGATCTCCTTCACGCTACCCAATTATTGCAGTGTAATTCAGGCTGTAATTTTAGCCTGAATGGGGAAACTAGACTCGTAATATTTTTATACTCTCTCAAAAGCGAAGATATCACTGTAAGCATTTTATCATGCCACTTGATAGGACGTCATGCAGCAAGGCTGGGAGCTCCCTTCAGGAGACGTTGTAAAAAGTGTAGGACCAATGCCCCGCCATGAGCAGAGCTAGTTTTCAATGTGTAAAAGCTACATTCATTGCTGATTGTGGTTTAATCAAATGAAGGAATCAAAGTGGATAGATAATGAAGCTCAGTGATATCACAATGTGCCTACACTGGCATCAGCATATTAATCAGCATGACACAGCGATCGCTATTTCAACCTAACTTAGCTTACAATTCTGGATCTAATCGTGAGTGAAACCAAAGCCATGTTGCCTTTTGTTCGGCGAATTTTTGAAATTAGAAGAATACCTTTATCAAAACTGCATCCCAAAAACTTACCTTTACTCGCCTTTACTCTCTACTTCTAAAGTGACTACAGGGTGACAAGATGAAAGTGAAAATCGGTTGTCCATAAACACATTAGAAGGCTGTCTGACCTCCATTAAGACTGAAAGCCTCATCCATTAAGGATAAATCGGACAATGAAAGTTTGTAATTTATTTGTCAATCTCCAAAAAATAAAATGAAAGTGAATTTTTTGTTATAAATGTTCAATCTCAACGAAACCAAATTGTATTTTGACAGTTGTCGGCTGTCAACTGTCAACTGTTAACTGTCAAATGCTAAACGCGCTCAGAGTGTGCTAGATAAATGCACGCGAGACAATACACGTAAATTGTCAATAATGTTGTGAGGGTGTTTAAGGTAATTTTTTTTTCTTAGAAGAATTTAGGATTTATTTGGCGTCAAATATATGTATGCACATATATATCTACATATGTATATACATGTATTTTTTTACGAAACCCAACACAGAGGCTGACAAAAAAGAAGAAGATCTTTCGTCTTGTTTAAGCGGTCGACTTTTGCGAACAGCTTAAAGTCGCTGCTCCTAGTTAAATTTAAATTTACTGCAAAAACACACACGCACACACACTTGCGGTGGCAGCTGAAGTTGAACACTTACATATGTACATACATACAGAGTAAACCACTTTTCAAAGATTTTTTTTTGGTTGCGTCAATCATAACTGTTTTCTAAAAATTTCACAGGCAAATAAGAGCAAAAAAGGATTGAAAAAAAAATAACGAAACAAAAAAATTGACTACTAAAAATTCCAGCCACGTAGGCGACGAGTAACGAGTGAATGTGCAGCAAAGCGTGTAAACTAACGACGAACGTGCGAGTAAAAAAATCAGTAAAAGTGTTAGAAATTAGCTGGGGAAATATGCTGATAAGGTAACGAAAGGAAGAACAAAATAGAAGAACAAGCAGGTGTGTGAAGCAAAGCAGAAAAAAATATATATAAAAAAGAGTATAAAACAAAAATAGCAGAACAAAAAACATAAGAGAAAAATAAACACTAAATAAGAGCGGTAAAACAGTGTAAAGCAAAATAAGCGGAAAACATTCAACAAGCAAAAAATTTAAAATGTACAAGAGAAAGGTTTGAAGTGTTGTGCATGCTGACTGACGGTGATTTTTGTACTAAATGTAAGCAACGGTAACGTGATAAATTCAAGGGAATCAAAAGCTGTGAATTAAGTGTAAGAAAAGGAGTGTAAGCAACAAATTAAAAATTAAATAAAGTGACCAATTGTACCTGTAATTGACAAATAAGTTATTTTACTTAGTTATTAAAAATTAAAGCAAAAAAAAAAAGCTTTTCTGTACTAAAAAAAATTGAGTTAATATAAAAACCAGTCATTAAGAACTAAAAAAGAAAAAATTGTTAAAAAATTTTAACCAAAAAAATATTAGATAAAAAATTAAAATTAATTTTTTTTTTGTGTATATTAAAAATTCTCAACTCAACATATCTCAAAACTTTAAATCCTAAAAAATAATAACTAACTGTACCAACCAACCGTAACCAAATTAAAGCCCTTAAAGCATACGTAAAACACCTACAACAGCCAGAAGTCGCAAAAGCCTTTGAAGTTCGCGCCCGCCAACTGCTATCTACCGAAGCCGCACTAAGTGCACCGCCACATAGCGAGTTAATTAATTACTACGAAAAGTCTGCAAAACTCCAGCCGCCACAACACGCCTAGTCGAAGCGTGCTCAAAGCATTTTTTTCGCATAAATTGTTAACGCTAAAATCATCAAAACGGCTAACGAAGCGCTCACACTGGCGGCTATATCAGCGCCAACAACACCTACTACATCAGCATCTACGCTGGTGACACCAACATCACCAACGCCAAGCGTCTCACCGCCCGCCGATACGCCTCGCTTGTCGCTCACAACACCTATACTGGCATCCATACAGTCAGCCGTAACCCCATTGCCGCCGTCTCTTGTAGTGGCGTGTAATAAAGTGGTGGCAGAGAAAGTGGTAATTGAAGTCGGAGCGGAAGGTAAGGTGCGAAAAGAGCCTGTAGTGGTATTTGATGTGGATTTGGCTGAGGAGAAAGGCAGCACGGAGGCCTTATCCACAGCGGAGACAGTGAGTAGAAATTCAATCGACTGCAAAGCCGACGTTGCATTATCACAACCAACCGTTATACAACCGACAACGAACGAATCAGTCTCTGCAACACCGTTAACCAGCACAAGCGCGCCTGATAACCCTAGAACGAACGGTAACGTTAACTCGACGGAGCTTAGCAACGTAAACGGCAATAATAATAGCTTCGACCATAATAATACGAACTCCAGCCCGAAAAACGGCAACACCAAGTGTATTACTCCTACCAACTTTGCTAAAGGGTTGCCGATTAATCAGCAGCGCGCACAAGGCGCTAGTCGCAACAACTACGCCAAGCCGAAAATAACATTGAAAATGCGCTTCAAAGTGGCCAAACGTATTTGCCAACGCCGGATACGCGCGAAAAACATCGATGAGAATTTCCCACAACCGAGGTGAGCCTATTTTGATGAGACTTTATTTTTTTCAAGCAATCTAAGCGGTAGTAATGGTGTTGGAAAAAAAACATCTCAAGAATATGATAACAATTTAATAATGTAAAGAAATATAAAAAAATATAATGAAATGAAATAAAATATAATAAAATGAAATAAAATAAATTAAATAAAATTAAATATAATATTGCAAAATAAAATAAAGCAAAATAGAATATTTTAAAATTAAATAATATAAAATATAGAAAAATAAAATAAGTAAAATAAAATAAAATAAAATTAAATTAAATTGAATTAAAATAAAATAAAATAATATAAAATATAGTAAGATAAAATAAATAAAATAAAATAAAATATAATAAACTAAAATAAAATTAGGTAAAGTAAAACAAAATAAAAAAAATTTAGTATAAAAATAAAATTAAATCAAGATAAAATAAAATAAAATAAAATAAAATAAAATAAAATAAAATAAAATATAATATTATAAAATATAATATATAATATAATATAATATAATATAATATAATATAATATAATATAATGTAATGTAATATAATTTAATATAATATAATATAATATGATATAATATAATATAATATAATATAATATAATATAATATAATAAAATAAAATAAAATAAAATAATATAAAATTAAATTAAATTAAATTAAATTAAATTGAAATAAAATAAAATAAATAAAATTAAATTAATCTAAAATAAAATTAACTAAAAAAAATGAAATGAAAATAAAATAATAAAATCAAATAAAAGAAAATAAAATTAATGAAAAAATAATAAATTGATTTGAATTAATTCTCAAAAAATAAAAAGTTAAAAGCTTAATTATATTCAACAAACTATCTTAAAATTAAATTCAAATAGATTTTGTGGAAGAAATAAAATGGAGTAAAATAAGGTTGTATTGGTGGCTCCCAGGTTTCAAAATACTTTAATGTAACTTGTTTGGAAAATTTCTTTAATTAGAATACATAATTATTTATCTACATATTCTTAACCGGAGCTCTTTCATGCTCTACATTCGTTCAATCCTAATACATTTCATTTATTTTAAAATCTCAATACAAAATTATTTCGTTGCCAGATTTCTGAAAGCAAGCAGCTTCATTGCAAGCGAAAGTATAAGTGACAAATCAAATTTTAATACATTTCTAGTCTTTTACATGTGTAGGCGTATGTTCAGACGTACATCTACACATACATGCATACATACTATATGTACGTATGAATATTTTAAATTCAATAATTTCGCCTTATATACCCACTCAAATTGATATGCTCTTTTCGCGTACATTTAAAGAAATAAATATACGCGATTTTCGCACAAAGTGAATACAATTTATATATTTAACTATATGAAAATTGCATTATATATGTTTATCATCATTGCCTTGCCGCGACAACCATCATCTCCGGTTATCAATGTATTCACGTCTCGCAGTTTAGTTGGTTGATGGTTGGCTGGGTGGCTTTTGGGTGCCTTAGTTATGCGCTTAGAACACATCAATGATTAAGGCGAATGATCTCACAGTTGCGTTTTACTGAAATTCTTATGTGTGTACGAAATAAGAAAATCAACACAAAATGAAATAGAAATGTTAATAAATATAATTTATTAGGTATCATATTTCTCCGACATATAATTGCAATGCACGTATATATAATGGTCTACTGAATGCTGACTGCCGATGTGACGACGGGCTGGTTGAAAGATGCTGCGACAGCTATTTAGTAAGCATTCTCATTCGAGTAGCTTCTTCCTTCTGTATGATTTCGTCCAATTCACTTTCAATCATTACAAACATACTTATTTGTGTTTGTATGTTTTTATTTCTACTTCTTACTACTTTTTCAACTTTTACTTTTCTATGTGTTCGCTATATTTGTATATGCACATGTATGCGAGCAGGTCTAACTATGACTTTGATCAGCGTCTGAACATGCTTGACCGACCGTCATCTTGCCTCAGTTTTTCTCATACATACGCATGATGAATTTAAATTATTTAAACTGTGCACGCGTCATGAATTCGTACAAAAAAGATTATTTATTTTTGCATCTTGCTTCCCAATTCGTTTAACTCGTATTTTTAGTTAATAGGGAAACTTTTTTAAACACATAAAAATAACTGCCTTATTTGACTTGAAAATGAAGAAAGTGTTATGGAAAAAAATATAAATATAAAATATAAATATGGTAATAAATTTTAATTTTATGTCTGTATTCAAATTTTTTTTTTCACTCATACTGAAATTCTGAAAATAAATCAATTGTTAATTGGTATTTATTACAATGAATAATTCTACACAACAGAGTAATTGTGTTAAAAAATATTTAAGCGTATTTAATTTACGCGTAAATAGCAATAATCGCTCAGTTAACTGGCTCCCACACATTTCCGGACACCACGGCGTATGCGTAACATGTAATTTCCGCTGTTGCCATAGTAAAAGCCGTAACTATTGTACATATAAACTTCTTAGATATAGTTTGACTTATGAATTGTGTATGTAATAAAAATATTTCGTATTTCTTTTACTTAATGAAGTGCAGTCGTGTAAGAATTTACATAAAAACACATACATACCGACATGTGCGTCTGACCTAGAGCTTCTGAATACTGAGTGCTCTTGTTTTTCTAAATTTTTTCTGTATATGTATAGTCATAAATAAATTTTTTTTTCAAATTTATTTGTGTTTTTTATATTGTCTTTTTTTGAATTTTCAATATATACATTTTTTTTTTAAATCTTTAACATTTAAGATTTACGTCTTGCGGTCGTTCCTCACAATGGCATGTCTTATAATCGTCGTAATTGTACATACAACTAACATATGCATTTGTACTCGTACATATGTATTCACATTTATCTGTTCACACTTGTTTTGTTTATGCGCTCTTCTTCATACAATTTCACATTTTTCATGGTGGCAATTATTCTTTAGTGCCTTGTATATGCATTTGCATTTATATTATATTTATAGATATGTAAATGTTTGCAACTCTGCTGTGTAGGTGTAAGCATGTAGAAAATGCATTATGTCTGGCTGCTTGTTGCACGTGGCAAGGTCGTTGCTATATTTAGAGAGAATGCTAAGTATAAGAATGTTTAAATCTTGCGTGTAGTAGGCAAGTAAAGGTGGTAGCGGTTTGAAATGAAAGAATATAAAGTGTTATTTTCTCTAAAAAATATAATAAAAATAATAATTATATTTTTTTTTATTAATAAAAGGAAAATGATAAGAAAAAAATAATAATAAAATTAATAAAAATGGTATAAAGAAATTTATTAGTATGTAAATACGTAATGACAACCTAAATTATTTTTGTTCCTTTGCCTAAACATTCGTACAGCTTTTTTTGAATGTAGCATTTTTCATGGTCCTTCAACACTTCACACATACAATACTTGCTCTTCATTGACTTATTAAAGAAATCCATACATTACTAAATATTGATTGTCCCCCTCTTCACAATTTCCATCAAACACATCACATTTCATTTAAGAAGCAACATGACTTACTTGACTTAAGGACCAACTTTTGCTCACTTACACAGCGCGTGTTCGACCCAATTTTCTCATCTTTGCCAGATGGCATACACATAAATACTAACAGTAACCTCATATACTTAAATATACCCAGCCAAACGAGTACATATGTGCATGTAAATGAGTTACTAATTTAACTGTAATATACATTTGTGTGTGTATGTGCACCTAATTAAGTCAGCAATTGTTGTAATTGCAATTAAAAT